GGCGCCTGGGAGGGAGCCAGCAGGTATTTTGGATGCTGGCCAGTGCCAGCTGGTGTCACTTCCCCTTTGCCCTCCGGTCCCACGTCCACACCCCACCAATTTAACGAGCCTTTTGGCAAGGAGCAGGGACTAGCAGCATGGTTTCCTCTCTGATCAGCAGATAGATTGAAAGCTGTAAAAATATGAGTAAAAGGGTAACTGCCGCAGGCCCTGTGCCAGGGACCGCATGCGAGCCTCCTGCCTCGGGGCATGGTCCTGCAGGCTGCGGGGCACCTCCAGAGCATCACTGCCGAGGAGCTGGGCTCCTGGCACAGGGCATAGCCTTAACTGGGGGGATCTGAGCATCATCGCGCTTTATTAATCAGGCCCCCCACTTCTCCCCAAAGCATGTACTGGGACCCGGGTGCAGGGGAAAGTGCCCCTGTGACTCGCCAGGCAAACTCATCCTCTCGACCCGGCCCGTGCCTGGAAGTGGCATCCAGGTGTCAAAAGGCACACCAGCTCTGACCTTTCATCTCAGCCTTCATCGCTTTGAATCACGCCATTAGCTTTATTAGAGCAGTATCAAGGCTGGGCTCGGGCCAGCGCTGGCAGCACCGTGTGCTGTTATTTATTTACTTCCCCCCCTTACCTTCCCCAGAATGGCTTGCCGTGGAAAACAAGTGAAATACCGGCCTCTTACTTGTTTATACAGCTTTCGTAGTTAAACGTCGCCTTGAAGCCATAGATGGAGAAAGTCACGATGCTGGCAAATATGGAAGTGGCGCTGTTGATCAGCGAGACGATGATGGCGTGCCTCTCGCAGTTGTTGCTGGGGTCATTGTAGCTGGCGAATGCAATGAGGCTTCCAAAGCCCAGGCCCAGAGAGAAGAAGATCTGCGTGGCAGCACTGATCCACGTCTTGGGGTTCGACAGCTGCTCCAGCTGCAAAACCGGACGGGGAGAGCGGGAGCGTGAAGCTGCGCACGGATGGCCGGCACTGCCCCTTCCAGCCTCCGGGGATGGGGACAGGGACAGGCCCCTTCGTGTACCCGTTTTAGCTCAGGGGTGTTTTTTGGGCAGGGTTACTGCTCAGTCTGGAAGTAATACGCTACGGGTTATGTTAATGGGCAGGTGTTTTCCTGCAGGAGAAAGCAAGCAGCTTACGGGCACCGTGGGAGAACAGCCTCCAGCCGTTCCCAGCCGGGGTTTCCAGCTGCCTGACCTGAGCTACTGCTGCAAAAATTCAATGTAAGGAAAAGGAGTATGGCCAGCTTTTAAAAACCTACACATTTGGTAACTAATAACATTTCATAAAAAATTCAGCATGGTTTTTCTCTACCTTTGGTGTGAACATGTAGACGAGCCCATTCACAGCTCCATGAAGTGTTAATCCTCTGATGAGGTATATGATGAGAACGCAGTATGGCAAAGATGCTGTTACATAGACCACCTGGAGGAAGGAGGGGAAAATACCTTGGTCTAACGAATACACAAGACTGGCCGTAATAGATCAGCTCTTTCTCACTTACTTACAATAATGGAAATGCTTTATGTAAAGTATTTGTTACCTTGTATCAATCTTTAAACAAATATCTTCAGATAAATCTAACTTTAGATTTAGGTTTTAGGGAAACAAGTTTTTATTAATAATAAAGACCCTGTGCTAATGTTCGCACAGGTCTTCTCTTTGATTGGAAAAATAAGAACGACATTTAAAATATTTGCAGCCTTTACAAACTCAGTTCTGCAGCATTTAGTGGAGTGACACCAGTTTGCCACCATCTGTCAAGAATGCATTTGGCAAAGGTCATCCATCATTTGCTCTAGGAGGAAGGTGAGCAGACCTCATAAAAGGTCAAAAATCAAACTTGACTGAAAATATTTTAATTCAGATGTGAAAAAGACTTTAACTTAATGTAACCCAGATGGGGGATGGAGGGAATTAAATCTTCCAGTTGTCTTCCATGAGCTTTTGAGCAGAGCCCTGGGTTTGAACTTAAATGTTTAATTTCCACATTGGAAAGAGCCATGTGCGAAAACAAAACAAACAAACAAACAAAAAACAAACACACAGCTAACACAAAACATGTGCCTTCCCAAGCTCTTGGGAGGAGAAGCGGATGGGCAATTACCAAATATTCCTCCGATCTGCACCTGCCTGCGCTGGCGGTGGGCATCTGCCTTTCGTTGCCACGAAATGCAGCAGCTTCACCTTCCGCAGTGGGACAGCCCTGCTTCCCACGCACAGGGGATGTGGGGAAGCCCCCTGCACTCCCTTTGCTCCCCCTGATGAGACCCTGCCTTCACAATGCACTTTCATAGAACCACAGAATCGTTTAGGTTGGAAAAGACCCTTAAGATCATCAAGTCCAACCGTTAACCTAACACTGCCAAGTCCACCACTAACCCATGTCCCTAAGCACCACATCTACACGCCTTGTAAATCCCTCCAGGGATGGTTACTCAGCCACTCCCCTGGGCAGCCTGTTCCAGTGCTTGACAACCCTTGCGGTGAAGACATATTTCCTAACAGCCAGGCTAAACCTCCCCTGGTGCAACTTGAGGCCATTTCCTCTCGTCCTATCGCTAGTTACTTGGGAGAAGAGACCGACACCCACCTCGCTCCAACCTCCTTTCAGGTAGTTGTCCTTTCAATGCGCCTTGGCTATTTATTTGTTTCTTTTTTGCCCACAAAGCCAGCTGCAGCAAGTTTGAGAGGTTATTCTTGGTTTATAGTCTCTTGGCTTTCTGCGTTCAGCTAATACGATTTGGGGATTACAGCCCTCAGCTTGCTTCTTAGTGCAGGCTCAGCCAGGACATTGCTTTTTTTCCCTGCTTCCTCATAACTTCTGCTGTGAATAAAAAGTGAGCGAAAACGCCCGGTAGACGTCTATTTTTTCTTGCCAGGACTGAGGAACAGACGTCTCCTGATGTGGCTCTGCTCTGGCAGGTGGCTTTCCGGAGGGCCAGCAGCCTGGTGGCTGGTTTTGCAGCAGAGGTGCCTGCATTTAAAGGACTTTTCTAGTGTTTTTTTTTTTTAATATCACTCAGTGTTTTGGTTGAGCCTTCTTCAGTTGCAACTTAACAGGTTGGCAGAGGGGCCTGGGCCGGCGGCTCCCTGGGAGATACCATAACCCCAAGTAACAGCAGCCATGGCTGCGGACTTTTCGGTGCTCGTTTGTCCTCCCCCCATCCTGCTGGGGCTCGGTGGGGCTGTGCCTGGCTCTCACCTTGCCGGTGGATTCGGTGCCGCGGAGGATGCAGAGGTAGACCACCAGCCAGGCCAGCATCAGGCAGAGCGCCTGCTCCCACTGCACGCTCCCGCTGACCTCCAGCGACGGAGAGATGTTCAGGGTCTGCCGGTACCAGAAGTACTGGGTGGACGACGTCTTCTCACACTCCTCCTCGTAGCCGGTGTGGTTGCTGTTCAGGGGGCAGGTGGCCCACGGCAGGGGGTCCTGCAAGGGAGGGAAGGGGCGTGGGGCGAGGGCCCGCCGTCAGCATGGTGGGGAGAGCGGGGGAGGATGAAGGCGAGGGCGGCTTTCTGTCCAGGGCTTGCTTGTCCCCGCATTGTGCTGCCTGGGGCTGGGGCTGACCCTCTCCCTTGGTCCTGACCATCTCCCCTGGGGATGACCATCTCCCCAAGGACTGAGCCTTTCTGACCCTCTCCCCTGGGAATGACCCTCTCTGTGAGGACTGACCCTCTCTGACGCTCTCCCCTGAGGATGAGTTTTTCGGACCCGCTCCCCAAGGACAGACCCACTCTGCCTCTCTTCCCTGGGGATGACCCTCTCCCTGAGGACTGAGCCTCTCCCTGAGTACTGCACCTCTCTGACCCTCTCCCCTGGGGATGACCCTCCTGATCTCCCCCAGGGCCGACCATCTTCTCTGCCTTCGGACAGACCCACCCCAGGGTGCAGGACACCATGTCCTCCAAGGCACATACAAGCAAGGCATCATGGGGCTGGCCTTGACCTGCGTTTTGTGGGGAGGAGAAGGCACCCCGATGCCCTTAGGGAGCCCCCAGGGAGGGACACCACTGCCTCATTTTTCCCCCCGGAAAAGCCCTGGGAGGGTTTCTGGAGTTTTTGGTCTCCCCTGGCTGACGATGGTGCTGGACAATGCCCAGCACCAATGCA